TTTGAGAAGGTATGACCTCGGTTAGGTGAAACATTACAGAAATATATTTGTGTTAGTGTGCAGCAAGCATCTTGAAACGCTTAAAATCGAAATTTATGTTTTTTTTATTGGGGGCCGCCCTGCAAATAGAAAAATCGCTGTGCTTATTTCAAAAATATCTCCCACGAAGATAATCAAAATTAATGTAACAGAAGCGTGAAAAATAAACCGCGCCCTCTTTTATCTTACCAAATACTTCATCTTTTGCGTGCAATATGTGATATATGAACAATTAATTCTGACTTTTCAAGACCTCACACGCGCTAAGCATTCATAAAACGGATTCCGTCGAAGAAATTAAAGCGAAACCAAGGACAAGCTTCTTTTACAGTCTGTATCCCTCAACTAATACTTCACCTTTCTAGCTAAACAGTAAGCAACTATGCACTTCCACTGGACTAAATGAACTAGATTGGCTAATCGGTATGTAATTATTTTTGATCCGGATGCATTAGTTTTAAGTACTGTAACAAATCAGTGAACAAGTAATCGAAACTCATAAACAAACAAGTTTGCCATCATTGCAAAACTACATGGAGTAAGTTTGACGTCGAGACAAGATGTAAGTTTACAAGTCGTCAAAGCTATCTAAACAAATCAATATTTTCAAATATGCGGTTTAATACACAGTGTAAGTATGAGAAAATGCGACCTTCATACCTACAAGGCTACAACATAGAATGTCGTAATTATACACAGAAACAGAACACTAACCACATACCCAGTATATAATCACAACTCCTTCGATTTTTTTCCACATAAACAATTTGCAAAGATCATATTAAATTAGATACGAATACTAAATTAGTACTGTCCAAAAATCTGGTTTTCTATAACTGATTCAACCAAAAGCACATTTTGACCATCGTTTAAGGCGACGTCCGAAGCGATTGCAATACAGTATAGTTACGATACTTGAAGGTTCAAGGTGAAAGCCAATTTAATCCCATAAAAGCAGCAATAACAATCAATACGTAAAAACTAATCCATTAAAAGTAAGACCAATGCAGTTCAAACTATTAAGTAACAACTTCAAAACATTTATTTAACTCAGATAAATAGTTGAACTCTGATCTTTTGAAGACAAGATTAAAATGATGGCCATGTATGATAATATATTATATTTAAGAAAGTCACAATTATTTTAATGGGATTGGCGAGAGAATTGAGAGAGACTAATTAGGTCAAATGTGCTGGAATTCATTTTTTAGTCTTGAGGCAATTATTAAATATTTTTATGATGCGCACACTATGACCTACACACGTGGTCGCATAAACGTACAGAGACAATAGTTTGATATTGTCCAAGAGCTGGTCAACTGATCGGGAACCAGATGAATGACCGTAGTTAGCTAGGTAATCAGACCGCCTTATAAGCTTTCCTCTATTCGGGGATGAATATGAAAATCCTATCATATCTTGTAGCGGGCCGATTAAAAAAAATGAATGGAATTTTCGAATGTAGGATGGATATACGCTTTATATACACATCCTGTGACAGGCTTTGTCGTCGTATTTCAATTGTGAAGAACATTACAGATAACAACAAAACATAATTTTGAAGACGAGATCGTCTTTAGGAGGAATGTTTGTTTCATGAGCAGACACCAATCCAATGTTTCATGAACATAACATAGACATGAGGTCACCCCTCAACTATCGCAAGAAAGTACGGAAAGTGGTTTCATTTGAGCATGCAGCCGCAAGAAACCAGCTGGCGCCTTGGTTTATTTGGCAATATACCCATGGACAGATGCTTTCCGACAAATAAAAAATCGCACTGATGCAAAGCCAATGTTAAATATCATATTGGTCGGTTACCATGGTAATACACTTGAAAAAGGCAGACAGCGAAACGAAGTCGCTGATCAATAGGCAATACAGAAATGCGACGAAGTTTGCTATAAACTCATATACACATACGTTACTCATGTGTCCTAACAATTGAGTACCGATAAATGTACAATATCGCTTTGTGCGCTACCGTCCTAAATTAGAATTCAAATCGGCAATTGTGAACACTTTTTTATTGCCATTACCAAGCATTTTGAAATATCTGGTGATGAAATAAGGTCGCGACCATTTTATGAGGCACTAACTGCTGAAGGATCTTCAAGCGTGTCACTTAGATTTACGAGAACATGGGAGTAGGCAGTGTAGAACTAAAGTTCTATAGAACTAATAAAATCCTGTTATGTTGGAAAACGGGGACTTAGGTTATTCGTTAAGAAGACAAGTGGCCGACCTGAAAAGTCAAAGTTCGAAAGAATGGTTAAGTCATGAGAAAACATGAGTTGCAAGAGCGTTCGTTACACGAAGACTCAGAATTTCTTACAGCATTATAGGACTGGTCACTGGTGGTGGTAAAAAACGCAATAAGCGGGAGACAGCTCTAAACATAAATGTGTAAACATCTCTTTGCGAGTGTTTTTGTATTCATATATCGTGTTTTTGTATTCATATATCATACCTTATTATTCTATCCATACCTTTTCCCTTGACAAGTATCTCAGCCACACATTCGCACGGAACCCGCCAAGTACCAGCTGCAGATTACAAACCAAGCGTGCAAATATAATCTATACTAGCATGAGATCATTTCAACTCAAAACACTAAAAACCAAGTCGATTACAAAACACATATCTATTTAACGCGCACTTGAACTGACATATAGGGGTTATTACGTGGGATGAGTGTTTAACGCCTGCCGTTTCATCATTACATTAAACTGTTTGTTGAAGGTAATAATATGCATTTGAAACGCACTCGCATATTTCACGCGAGATGAATGCCCAAAAACAGCAGGAAATTGTGAATGATTTTCACCTAAAATAACGAATACCAAAATTACAAGATGTCCATATATTATCGTTACAATTTAAGAACTCAAAAAAGGTTTTATAGAAATCCTCAATATTAACATAAAATAATGATCTTCAAAAAGCAATACCATATAGCATTTACAAGACCACATGAAATTACCGTGACATTTGAAGAGTTAACCGAAAGACCATTATTTACCACATAATAGCACTGCTAATGTATTTTTCAAACCTTCAAATATTTTCTGATACTTAGTCTTAATAATTGTAAAAAATTGCGACTGCTGAACAAGCACTGAAATACATCTTATGTTTCATTCTATATGAAAACTGCAACGCGAGACTGGATAATTATATCATATTTTGAAATAAACGTCCTCGTTACTTGACGTAATTTTGATGGATTTCTACATTGCAATGACTTGAAAACGAAATTCAATTAATCATCCTCTTTTAAAGTAAATTACAATAAAATCGTGCAGATGGCATTTATATTTTAACCCAGCCAAATATAAAAAAATTTGCTTTCAAATATTATTCAGTGTCCATGTATGAAAATAGAAAAATAAAACGCGTGGGATTCATTTTGAAAAAATGTGCGTCGTTGGCAAGAATCTATCAAAATAAAGGTAATGGTGCCACAAACGTATCATAATATTGTCAGGCTCACACTGTGCGGTTCATCATTACTGTATTCTTAACTTTGGCGCACGACGTAATTCAAATGTTTTTGCAGTAATATAATCCCATTATCCTGCAACCATGATTGGCAGAAATGTAAATAATAGGATATCAGATTGCGGACATTTACGCACAGCTGCAGCTTTGCGACGCTACTCTGACGTGAGAAACTTTTTTAAAAAAAAACACGTGAATAATGCCTACTTCGCCTTCTTTATGTAAGCATTTAATTAAACTAATATCATTTAATCACCATTTTTAAGGCATCACCTAACATTAAATGAATTGCTTCGCTGAGTAAAATTACGGAATAAGTACCATATCTTCCGGGGAAATCATTATTTTATGCTAGCTAGCATGCATAAACTCCAATAGTTGTATTAGGTAAAAGAATAGTATTGACAAAAGATAGTATTCCACACTGTATCTGCATAATGATGGTGGTCTTAGTAAGTTTCTGGTGCATAGATTGAAGTAAAGTTTACTAAATAAAAGATCAATGGTAAGAAAGTATCGTGTTCTGTCACTCTCATCTATCTATTCCTCAAGGTTGAAGACGTCAAAACATTATAAATACAAAGCAAATTAGAACATGAGAATAGAGATTACTGGGAATGTACGAAAGAAGATATTTTCAAATTTTAGTTCTTTCATGTCTACATATATTATTACAGGATAGAAAATGACTAGGACTAGAAGAATAGAGTTCAAGCATATATGGTGAACCCTGACCTCCACTAATTGATAAGAAAAGGGCTTGACAATTCAATGCGAAAGATGTGTCAATGATGTGACTGGTAGAGAAAGCAGTAACCATTTAGGCACATCTCAATATTGCCCTAAAAATACTTACAATCATAGATCATGAAACGTAGTTTGAATTCTTTATGAGTATAATTTAAATAAAATATAAAAGTGAAATATTTCAAAATACGACAGAAACAGCAAAAAACGGCAGAGTGTGGTGGGTTTTTAGCAGGATCTTATCTAGCTATTGATGATGAAAATGTCTTCCTCTACAGCTCTACATTTTTAATAAGAAAAAATAAGTCCTACAAGGCTCCCACACAACTTTTTGTGCTTTTAGAAACTCAAAACTCAATTTTGAATTTTTTCTGTATGAAGTATAATGCCTAACCTTCTGATCTCTGAAAAAATGGTTTATTTTAGTTTTATCTGAATTTCTGAAAACAACAAAAACTGACAATTGACAAAACCATATAAATGAGCTAACGCTAACAACCATACCTGAATATCTGATTAAGTGAAAAAAATGTTTGAGCAGCTGCACAAATTTCAATTGTTACATCATGGTGAACTCAATGTTGATAGGCGTTATTGCGAAAAGATACAAGGAGGTCGATGCCCGGGAAAACATCCATCGAGGTGCAAATAATTAGTAACAAAAGTAGGCTTGATAATAAAAACAGAAAAATTATGAATTGAAAAATCCATACCTATCAATCTCGTCTGAGGTATCTGATTCTTTATCTGAAACAGGTTCTGTTGACGTTTCTTGGTCCTTACGTGGTGATAGACAACATGATTTCCTAAGGGCGGTTATCCACTGGGCCATGTCATTATATGAATCCGCACTCAAATAGTATGTTTTCATTCCCGTATGCTCAACCTGAGTCAAGAATAGTAAATTGCATAGAATTATATTAGAATTATATTAAGTAGTGCATTGGAAAAGATAAACACGGTTATTTATTATAGAAAATATTTATTCTTCAAAGTGCTACAAAACAACTGATAGTGACAGTACATAAATTTGAGAAAAGTGTCATCAGGCAAACAAGTGCAAGAAATTATAAAAATAAAAACGTTTAGTTTATGTTCACATGACTGACTAAAAGACTATGAAGATCACAAATGACTCAATACAAGAGGAGATGATTGTTACCACATGAAAAACAATTGAAAACAGAAGAGATTCGGCAAAAACGAAAATCTAACATAAAATGTAAACTAAGGTAAAATGGAAAACATTTATAATTTGGTATGGTGATGGTGAGTAAAACGCTCGCAAACCAAAAAAACATGGAAGGTAGCATAATGAGGCACCTTCTGAGCCAAATTATAAGTAATTGGCCAAGAGGGACCCAAAATGAAAAAATAGTTACATCCGAGGTTCGTGAAATGAAATGAAACATGCTAACAAAAATGAAGGCATTGATGGAAACCATAAATGTATTTGAAGCACTACTCACTACTGACATCTGGTGGACTGCTTAAGTTTTAAAGAAAAAATTATTAAAGTCAAGATTATAGGGTATTTGCAGAAAAGACACCCTGAAATTAGCCTTCAATAATTATGATTTGGCTACTTCAGGCTATGAGTGCATTGACTCACAAAAAATTTACTCTCAGGGTATACGAATTTTTCCACACAATAATAGTGATTTTGATTCATCATTTTATTAATCCAGTGTAAAATTGTAGATATATATGCTGTGACTGTAACCAGATACCCATACTACAAAACTTTTCTCTATCCCTGCCAAAGTTATCCAAGTACTATGACTAGGTTGATAACTTGATGGTAATGGCAATCTAACATTGCAGTTTGCTTATATGCAAGGTGTGGTGATATGCACATCAAGCTGAGTGTTAGAACATGATTGCCATCACATCTTCAATTACATTGCGTGCGTTCGTTCGCCTGTTCCAATTAGGTCTGGAATAATCATGTTAGAGAGGATAGCTGGACTCCTCGCTAACGAGGGGTGGTTTACAATTACCCTAGTCTGCATTCCCCCATGTGACGTCCATGCGACTGAAAAATGATTGAATAACTAACGCCATACCCAGCTAACATGATCAGGTCACGAGACAAGGCCTTGGTTAATCATTTGATTAAAGTGTCCTATTGTTTTCCCCTCCCTCTAGATAGATTTGACAATCCTAACCAATAGTCTGAATCTTCAACCAACCATCCAAATATGATAAATCACTAGAATCTACAGGTTGCTCGCTTACCTTGAATGCATATTTCCGACTTATTTTATCTTCGGCAGTCATTGTGCTCACAGTGTAGCTGGGAAGAATGATATTTCCCAATATTTCATCTTCTTTAGAATCTGGATAAAATGAAGGAATCACTTTAGATAGTAGCTAGTCCACAGAAAAGCTCATGATATAGCACATTTTAACAAAAATAGCTTTGAACAATCACACAAAGAGTTGGATTTAAGACTTCAGTGTTGAGCGGGGCAGTTACAACTCTTATGGCTTGTTTATTAAAGTACAACTTTTTTGGAAATGGTGTTAAATATAATTACTAAAAATTCCAGAATAACCAGAACCATAGAAAATATTTGGAATGAACAAAAATGTATTTAGTCATACCTTCATGAAAAAGAATTTCAAAACTTTGAAATTTATCAAATAGACAAAAGTAGGTTAAACAAATTAGTTGGAAGAAAATGTTAGAAATGTTTTTCACAATGAGAAATTGCCTGTAAGTCAGGGGTTCTTACAGGGGCACTTGGCTAGACGTTCTCTACTTAGCAATTTTCTATGTGGACATGTTTTGTAATTTATGTTCGTGCTTTCGAAATGTAGAGCCAATGAACGTAAAATTTACCCTTGGATGAGTAGTAAACGTTGAGGAGGACATCAATTTAATATTACGGTATTTTCCAAATTTGTCAAGTCAGTAGTCTTGAAATATATTGAAATATAAAAATATAAACATACCTTTATAGTAATACAGACAAAAGTCAGCAAGAACAAACCACTTCTTTCTCCACATTTTCATTTTACCAGTGCTGTCCTGTATAAGAGTAACATCAAAATGAATTACAGATTGGTTTGTTCCGTCAACTTGCAAAAGTATATTATATTCTATGTTACAATAAAATTAACAACCGTACACAACAACAACAACACAAGTGTCATCTTTTTCAGTAAATTTGTTTGACAAATGAAGTAATTATAAGAAAATATGAGAGTTTCATTCTATACAATCAAGGATGGGATCAGATTTTTATATTCATTCAGGAAACCCGATTAGACGGCTCAATCATATGGTAAATTACAGACTCTTGTCCAAATATGTAAGAAAATGGGGTAACCAGTTATTTATTTCGTATTTATGGAAAGATGGCAGAAGGAAGGTGCAACAAATCTGCAGTTATGTGAACCACCCTGAGATGGCGGGTAGTCCTCCAATCTTCTCTCACACAATTACATCCCGCGAAAACGCAAGCCTGCATAGGATAATTAAAGGTGCGATGGCAAGTGTATTCCTAACGTAAAGCACAGTGCACCAACAGTCTAGCCATCTAACATGACTAAAGCAATTTTTACATTTGCTTAAAGTAAGACAATTTCACAATTGGATATTTCAATAATTTGATACATAGGCACCTGTTGGAAATAATATTGAATTCTCACCTGTTTATATAACCATCCCGATTTTATTACATTTTGCTTCGGATCTCGCCATGATGCCATCATCTTTGATCTCATACTTCCTTTACTTTGCGTCGATCGTATACTAGTTGCAGATGTGGGTCTGGCTGATTTTGTTTTTTTCTGAAAAAAATGTATGAGTTAAACAACAAGAAGAATAAATTCCAACCAGAATGTATTCAAAACAACTCCTTAAAGAAGTATCAAATATTTCAAGCATATAGTCAATTATTTTATAGACGTTGCAAAATTTGAGACCAAGAATTCTTGGTTGGACAAAAGGCAATAAATTCATAACAGCTAAATTAGAAAAGTCAGGAGGATAGCTCATTTGTACTGGTCGGTAAATTTACCTCAGGCTTCTGTTTTTTCTCACGGTGCTTTTCTTTTTTCTCTCGGTGCTTTTCTTTTTTCTCTTTCACTCTTTTAGAAGGTTGCTGGAAAAATAGGAACAATAATATTTTAGCTGAAATTCCATATGCAAATTCATTCTAAAATCCAAGATCAGTATGTCACAATGTTTTTCCACATCCAATAAACTTTATATTTTAATTATTGAGCCCATTATGACATATTTTAGCTGTGGTCAATGTGGTCCTCAAAGCAGCATTGCATGATTTCAATGTTATACCAGAATCATACTGGTGTTATCGTTAACAAAATATATTTGTAATTGTAAAGTATTTCTAAATCATCAAGTATGAATATGAGAATGAGTGACTTCAATTGCAATTATAATATAGGATAAAGTATAACTTCTTGTCCACAATGAGAATAAGAGAAAAATGGCCAATATCAAACAATAAATCATGTTCGTAAACGAATGAGTATTTGTGACAAATATCTTCCATGTATGACAGAAAGCTTACCTTAACTATTTGTTCTGGTTTTTCTCTTGCTTTGCTCTAAAAATTAAATATTTAACACAAGATTATGCTTCGTTTGATTTAAGCTGGAAGAAATATATGTTAATAGCACTCAAAAAAGTTACCAAAAGATACCGGTATCTAAACTCTATAGCGTGGATGTGAATGATGAGATACTGATTAGAACTAAGATATATATACTCACACTGCTTCTTCTGAATATATTGATGCCAGATCTTTCGAGAAAAGAGGAATTCCTGCGTTTTTTCTTTTCTTGATTAATTGCTTCTGTACTGATGCTGAGAAGCCAAAAAAAAACTATTTTAGAAAATAATAATACCACATATGTCTGAAATATATCGAAGAATATGTGCGATAACTCAAATTAAACTTTTATTTGAGAATTTGAAGTACAAAATACAGGCATGGCAAATCAAAGATCTATTGGTTGCAAAGAGATACATATGATGTTTTTTTTACTGAGTAATTCTGCATATAACTGAGGTTTTATCCGTCTAGAAAGTGTTATTTCCATAAAAGCAATTCTGGAATATTAATATACCAGGTACTGTGATTGTATGCATTCAAATATGCAAAAAGCTTAAAAAAATAATTTCTAATCAAAGTAAACAGAATTCCTACTTTTGATATAAGTGATCATTCGATTTTACTTTTGGTCGTTTCTGAACTTTAGATTTTTCATCTGCGTTGTCTGGGAAGCTAAAGGTGGTTAACCCCTTGTTGTGACTGAAAAAGAAAATTAAAATAAATAAAATGCAAAATTTGAATAATAAATGCTATTAAAACTATATGATTATATATTATACATGGATACTAATAAATTCTGTTTAATAGGTTTTGCAGAAAATGACTTGAATGTACAATTGTTAGTATTCAGAAATATAAATGCACAGGAACATACAAAAATCTTCTTCGTCTAGCTTCATCATAGCTCCTTTAAGATGATCATGTACAAACTTATCACAGCTATATTTCTAACATCACTAAAGAATGTAAAAAAATGATAAAATTTCTTATATTAGTGAAAATGATCTTAAGCTAAATGCTTGGCTGTCGCATTCGTCAAAATTTGATAAATCATTTGATTTATATGCAAAACAAATTTATGCAATAATTTGATCAAATAAATAAAAAGACTTATGGAACATGACTCATAGTTTCATAGGTTAGTACATGGTTATATCTGTATTGACAGGCGGAGCCTTACTTATGGTACAACTTTCATCGCAAATGTTTTAACATTAACAAAAATATTGAAAACATGATTAATTGATTTATCAAAAAATTATTAATAAAGAAAACATGACTTCAAATATTATGGGTCGGTAGTTGTTATGAAATTTTCAAGTTCTGTCTAACAAGGAGTCTTCTACCAAGAAAATTAAGAAAATATTTAAAAAGTATGCCCACTATTGTGCATTTAATGTGCAAATGCTAATTCAATAACATAATAATTATTTTAAAATCATTATCACATATGTATTGATAACCTGAGTTATGCTCAACTTGCTTTACATATTACTACCTTGCAAATTGTTTAAAATCTACATTTCTAAAATTAACAATAACAGAGACATTCATCATTCATTCATCTCTTCATATCTCAACATATTAGATACTAAATCAGAATTATAATTCCCAACAAAGCAATGTACATATAATAATATTCCTGACAAATAATCCACATTGTGACTACTCTAACAATAGAGGAAAGAATGAGTACCCACCCAAAAGTAAAACACACAATAAACCAGGCTCAATATTGACATTGTGGGATACAACACTATCAAGAGACATGTCTGGTTCCTGTTAGTCTGAAATCAAATGTGAAGTAATTGTACAATGAAATTTTGCAGCCAAATTCCAATAGCAAGAATTGTATATTATCTAATAGAAGTAAAACCAAATTCAATCAGTGTAATTTAAATGGTGCTTTACGGTAGTCATTGTTTTATATAAACAATCGATTATCTAATACAGGAAATAATTCTGTGCAATAGATTGGCATTAGCATCAATTAAATTAGTGAGAAATTGAAAGGCACTTGAACATCTATAAAGTGTGTCTTATTCGCATATACCTAGTCTTGAGTACATCCATTGAGAATGTCCATATTCTAGTTTCCGTAAATTATAAATTTGTGGGAATTATATGAAAAAAATGAAGGTACAGGGTGTCCATAAAGTATATTTATTTAACTGTAAAGAGAGTTTATGAACACCCTTTATAATGGTCCAGATTTCAAAATTCTTCATTCATTACAGTAAAGTACCGGTACTAACGATTAAGGCTGTTTATACAGATATTTTCTAGTTACTTTTAGCAAATATTGCAAATGATTTGTCAATAAATGATCAAATATTAAAATTGATCAAACTTAGTTTTGGTGAATAACTGTAAATGAGTTGTAACTTGTAACACTCAACCTAATTGAAGTCAACATAATATATTATTTCAGGAAATGCAAAGTTTACCTCCAAAGCATTTTAATGGAAATTGGGGCTGGTAAATTAAATACAGGGTGACAAAAAAACGCATCAATTTCTCGAGTATTTCCACGAAAATGGAGAATATTTATTTAACACCTAAACTTTGGTTTATGCATGATTGTACCCAAAAGTTTTATTAATCTAAAACACTTTGAACAAAAAATATGTCCTCTTCAAAATATCAAATATAAAGTTAGATAAAAACTGAATCATTAGCATGTTTGAGAACATTTATAAACACCATGAAATGTTAGATAATTGGAGAAATATTAACCAAAAGATTGATCATGTCCAGATCTACATTTTTGTGAATTGAAATTATATAGGAGTTGATTGAAAACAAGATAACAAAAGAGTAGCGGCTGCTATTTTGCTACACTGGCCGTTAAATTTCAAAACACTTCTGTTGAATGGAATGAGAGTTGTCCTTTCAATTTTATCAATTGTTTGAACAAAGAGAACTGATATTGAAGCGAATACATTGAGGAGCGTGTCCTTTTGAATGTAAATAAAATGTCAGTATTATTACGTTTTGATGACAAATTATTGATAAATGAAAACATAATAATATTGTTTTTATGACGCTTATTAATGATATTAATCAAAAGCTTTTTTATAAATTATTATACACTCAAACAATGGTACAAACCTATTTTATATTATTTTACTTTCAAGACTATTGTCTCAGTGATTGGTATAGCCTTACAAAGTACATCAAGCATACAAAAAGGTCATCCATAATAGATTTAATAAGTAGCCTATAAAAGGTATATTAATTATGTAAAAAATATAGGATAACACTATACAATGTGAGACCAATTCCTACAGAACTCAATACTGAGGGTGGCTTACTGTGCTATCAAAATATAGAGAAAATTTTCACTAATCACAATTTCAATTAATCAAAATTTCTTGAGAGTCAAAAATGTTATATAAAATCTCCTCTAATTCTGAATACCAGATTCTGAATAAGACTCACAAACAAGTAAATAGTTAGTTGTGAATACATGATTGTTTACTTCATTAAAGTCAGTGACAGTTCACAGTCACATATCTCTAGAAACATGCCAACATGGCAATTTGTGCTTACAAAAGGTTAGCATGAAAATCCAATATAATAATATATAAACTCATGTATTATAAGGGAGTGGTGTATATGGCTATGTGACAGGCTTCTATTTGGCATTTGAAATATCACATTAAAATAACATGGTTGTGTGCAATTCACAGTACTAAATTATGGCATTCATGATTTTGGCCCAAAACAAATAAAACTACCCTACTAGACCAATTGTACTGTGAATTAGCATGACATTTGCTATTTACTTTTGGTACGAAAATGAGAAGATTTATTCCATCATGATCAATGTTCATATTCAAAGAAGAAATAAAGCAATATTCATCAACCCAATAACGTCAATAAACTTAGCTGGAAGGTATGTGTACAATAATTCTATCATATTTTTAATAAAAATTATTTGAAAATTTGCAATGTGTTTTGGACTACTGGACAATACAAATGTTCTATTAAAGAGTATCTAAGTTTCAAAAATATATCCTCAAGAACTAAAAATATATAAACAATAAAATACTGTTGACTATAAACAGTACTACAGAATTTTACCGATGATAAATCACCAATTAATGGGCTACACTTTGTGGGATCAGGGTTTGAAATTAGATACAAACAAATATAAACAGGAGGAAAATAGCATATGCGGTATTGCAAATAACTTATTACCGTAATTATTATTATGGGCCATTCTAAGCAACTGTTGAATTTCATCAATTTTTTTTTAAAGTGTAGTGAAAGTAATTATTTTGTATTTTTTATATTAAAAGACTGCATTCATTTCACTGAAAAAGTTGAAATTTCACCCAGGTTTTCGATGATTTACACAAAGTGGCCTGAATTGTAAAAAATTCGATATACTCGGCATGTTTTATGATGACTCGTAACATGAATGTTTAATTGTCTGGTGCAGTTATTCAATTCCAAATAGTTGCATTGGACTTAAGTTAATAAAGCTTAAATGTTTGCAGTGCTGTAGGACATGTCTTCACCTATTTAACGATTTATTACCAGGATTTTAAGAGATGATGTAGGCGGCTGTTCCAAAGTGGAAAATGTCCTGTAGTGTCACATCCTGTATAGTGGTGGACCTGCGGTCCCGTAGTGTCACGCTATATTTTGCTATATTTTTAACATCCACTAAGTAAGTCTTGTGTGTAACTTTTATGCAATTATGTTTAAACACCATAAAGCAAGTGATTGGACAATGACACAAAACATGTAGCTGGAATGTAAAAATATATTGCATCTAAAAACGCGCAAAATTTCTGGAAATGTCACTTGAGTTGAGTCACTTGGAATAATCCTTATACACAATTATTTGCATTATCTAATATACCACAAGAGAGAAGTACTAAAATAGATGGAAAGAGCATTATATCCTAATGATGACTGAAATTTATATGATGTTATTCATTAATAAGCACCAGATTAGGAGACGGAAAACTGCGGCCTGTGAACCAAATGCGACCCTCAAGCAAATTTTTTGTGGCAACCTCATTTTCAATGCATAAAAACAGAAATTGCTCATAAATTTATTATCTGCGGATATATGTCGTAATAATGATTTACGGCATTCATTTTGTACATGTCAGTTGCCGGTTTAATTGCTAACTTGCCGTACCCACTGTCAGTTGTAATTAACACAGGTATAAAAGTTGCACTAGAGATGTCAAACCCCCATCATCAGATTCCAAAAATTTAATTTATCTAGAGATTGTTGTGATCAAAAAACCACTTGAGCGAAATGACAAACTTTAGGTTTCAATCCTCAAACCTTCTCCCGTAACTTATACATTTTAAAATACAGATACTATTTTACTGGCATGACAGACTTTGCAAACATGCAATACATTACAAACATTTGCCTGTTAAAAATACATAAAATAACTAACTAATTTTGAGATAAAACCACATGTCTCATAGCAAATAAAATAGATATCACCAAACCCTTTCCCCAGAAAATATTCCATAGCACCACAGACATACATAGACTTCTTATTCAGACCCACTTATGAAATTGTCAGACAATATCAAGGTATTCAACATGGCGTTATTCAGTTCACCACTTCACTTGATTGTACTCTTAACGGCTTATTACCAATTGAGTATTGTATATTTAACATTGTGATTTAATCCTTAACTTGGGGTAAATTACATAAAAT